TTCAGTGTCTTCTGTGATGATATTTCAAACTTTAAATTGATTATTCAGTGGGTTCAGGGTACATTTGGCTGCAGTGTTGTATCCGGTGGCTGTCAGTGAATTTATGTGATAAAATCTGACATCAGGAATGTCCCACTGAGCAGTCCTATTTTTGCCAGAAGCGTTTTCATATCTAGTAAAGGGGATGGGCTGGAAAGCATCGTGGTGGAGAAAGCTCCTGGTGGCCGTCTGCCTTAGCTGCTTATGCAGCTGTTTTTCTTGGGAGCCTTTCCAGGGGAGCAGTCATTGCTGTTCCAGAAAATGTCTTGTTTTGTGCCTGTCTCGTGTTGCAGCACATTAAGCCCTATCCCCAATAAACCCTTGTCCAAATCTGTGTGGGGTGTGACCCTCTGCAATCAGCCAAGCCAGTCCTTGGTGCCCCCATCACTTTGGGAGTTGCACAAAGGCTGGGTTGGTGTGAGAGTTGTCTTCTCTCCTGGTCCCAGACCTGCTCTGCACTGTGAAATGAATGTTTGCTGTGGAAAAGCAAAGCACAGAGCTCCTGTGGCTGCATGGGGATCAGGGGCTCTGAGGGGAAAGCCAGCCCTTGCTGCTTCCTCCTGGGAGCATGGTCCATGCCTTCCAGTCCATGGTTTGGCCAAAGGCAGCTCAGTAAGGTGGGCAGATGGGTTTTGCTGGTTTTTCACCAGCCTGTGTGTGCATTTCCACTGGAGAGTAGCAGTGGTGCTGCTGGCTTGGCATGCCATGGGACAGCAAAGGGCTGTGCCTGTGTCTGTCCAGCTGCTGTGGAGATGGGGGCTAAAAATAATCAACTCTTTTTCACCTCCAAAACAACTGAAGGGCAGAAATGAGGAAATCTTGGATTCCTGGAGCAATTGAAACTTGTGTCTTCATCCCAAGGACATACAGGGAATGGATCATCATGTAACACCCCTTTGTTTTCCAGGATTAATTTAAGGTGCGGGTACCTTGGACAGGAGAGTAGGGTGACAGCACTGGGCCACTTTTTTTGAGGATTTGTCTGCTCTTGGCTGTGCCAAGAGATGCCAGGTGCTGCATCCCCCATCCCCATGCTACTACACACTGGTAAATCCCTTGAGCATGCAAATGCTGAGAGCTGATGGTTTTGTACTTTTGTCAAGGTCAATGAGTAGATTCAGCCTTTCAGTTATAGTGGATGAGATTTTTGTGACTAGGATGTTGTGGAGTGTTATTTTGAGGTGTGGGTGTTTTGGAGTCTTTGTTGTTGTTGTGGAGATTGTTTGTTGGTTTGGGGGGTTTTGGTTTATTTTTTGTTTGTTTGGGGTTTTTTTTGTTAAACTGCGTGTGTTGTTTCCAGAACGGGATGCAGGTGCCTGGGTTCACAGGCTGCTGATTTAATAGTGGGAGAAAGGAGGGATTGCAAGAGGCTCCACATTGTATTCCTCTCCCTTTCCTCTCCTCCTATTTTGAGTCATGTATTTGTACATTATGTACAGGAGATCATCTCAAAATCCTGTGCCTGGCACAGAAGGCACTCTGCTACTGTAGAGGTGACTTGTGCTGCCATTTAGCTCAGCACTAGGAATATTTCCTAGAGATGTTCAAGATTTTCCATTCCTAAACATACTCAGAGAAGGCAGTATCTCTTACAGTCAGACTGAATCTTGAGTCGAGTCAAGCTTATGAGAATTACCAAATTCTGTGTGTGTTCATATTAGTAAATATAAGTGAAAACTTCTGATACATTTTAATCATAGAAGGAAGAAATCAGTTAAGTTCTGCTCTTTTTCAGTCTTAAAATAAATAATACATTGTGTACTATGCTTGGTTGTAGTGTGGGACAAGATTTATACAGAAGCAATTATCTTTTAGGGAATAGTACAATACTTTTCAACAATATCATAGAAACAGAGTATTTACTCAGCAACTTGAATAAACAACTTCTATAAAATACGCATGGGCTTATTAGTGTTTTATTGTGAAGTGCAAAAATGCCCATGCTTTACTTATTAAGTATGAATTTAAACTGAAATAGTCCTAAATTAGTCACTAGGCAACTATTACTGTCCTGGAAACTTGGATTAGTCTTGTTCAATGGGAATTTTGTATCCCATATTCTTTCTGTAATTTTGCCTTTACTTAGGTGCTGTTCGTGGGGAATGTGTTGAATTCAATGAATCGTGTCTTTTGACAGAAAATATTCAAGTACATCTGCAGGCAGAAGATCAGCCATTTGTACTAAGAGGTTTTCACCAAGAAAAATGTCTTCTCTTGGTGTTATCTGGCACTAACGTGGTGTTCTCTCAGTCGTAAAACAAGGTGTAACATCCAGCATGATCCTGATTTTTCAGGCAGGTCACAGAAGTCTGGTCATGATCTTACTCTTTCATAAGCTGCCCTGTAAAACTATACAAGACTTTCTCCCTTCATTTCCAGCTTGAGCAAGAAATAAGCAAGAACTCTTTGTTCTTTTCAGCAGCTGTTACTCGGAGTAATTTGTGGGAGATGCTTTGAAAAGTCAAGTTGCCCTTTAGCTTTGTAGGGGGTGGTCTGGCACAGTTGATGTGTGAGTGGTGATGTGGGCATTTGTTCATTCAGGATGGATTGTTTGAGACTCCCTTGTGCGATGCCAGCTGTCATGATCTGTGTTAAATTGCAAGAAATTCGTTCCAAAGGCAGGCCCTGGTGAGCCAGGAGACTGGGATAACAGGAGGGGAAAACAGGATGCCGTTCAGAGTTTGTTCTAGGCTGTCTGCAGGAAGGTTTCTTCTGGGACTCTGCTGGCAGGCAGAACCGCCAGGGAGTGGCAGGGGCCCTTCCCCGACATAATAAAGATAGGAACACAAATGTAGCAAGAATTACTTCTGCAAGGGTTTTGTGCTGGTTTTGACCCCAGAAGTTTCAAAATTAGATGAAAAGGTGCCAAGAGTGAGTTCTACACCAGCAGGAAGCGTGCTCAATAAATCAAAGAACAAATAGCTCTGTGATGTAGATGAATGTGTTTCTGGAGGTAACCATGGCTGGTGGCAAACATACAACCATTTCTCATGGTGTCTGCAGGCAATTATGAAGATACTTTGTCAATGTGATAGGAGGAGGGGAGAGGGCAGAATCCTCCTTAAAATGCTAACAGAGTGTGTTGCAAAGCACCAGGGGGAACGAAGGGTTTTCTGTGTGGGTTTTGTTACTTGGCAGGGCCCGCTATGACTAAATCTCCAAAGACTGCAGTTTCTTTTTATTTTTTATTTTCTTTAAAGTTGCATTTATTTGTATATTACACAGTTGGTAAGCGAAAGAACCACCCTCACCTTATCAGACCATGTATGGGCTTTATTTGTAAAATGTTTCTAGCTGCCTGTTCAGCATGGCTGGAAAACCACTGTAGCTGTGAAGGCTCAGTTGAGTCATTCACTTGCCAGAGCTCAGAGTTCCCATGTTAATCACAAGAAGCATGTGCAGAAAAGTCTGACCCAGATCCATCAGTGATCCTCTTCTGCTGGGCTACATGTGCCCTCTGTTTTCTTCCTTTATATTGTTACATCTGTTGATTTTTATTTTTTAAAATAGTCATCGTGCAGTGAGGAGTGTTCTGAAATTGTGAATTAAGTACATTCTTTGAAGAGGAACAAAGCCAAGTGGCTAAGGCAGCAGCCGAACTTTAATATCTCTGGTTAACAAAACACTTGCCTAAAGCGAAGCCAAAGCACCTCACAGGAGTTCTTCTTTCAATGGGAATTTATTAGAATTATTTATTAAATTGAAAAAAGACATTTTTGCACTTCTATGATTTGGGTTGGACGAAAGTCAGCACTGGATACTTTTTGCTTAAGTTGTTAAATCTGAAAACAAATGATGACCAAACCAAAACAAATAAATGACTCTATTTTCTGAGATTGCAATGTGATGGGAGCCAGGCTGGAGTCCAGGGAGCCTGCAGATAGAGCTGTGCCTGCTCTGGAAGTGCAGTCAGTGTCTGGCTGTGTGTGCAGGACTCACAGCAGCCTGTCTGGCCTTGGATTTTCAGCACAGCCCAGCTCGGCTGTGCTGGAGCTCTCCCATCCTCCCAGACCCACCTCAGCTCTCCCTGCTCCAGCCACAGCAGAGCTGGAACTCATGGCATGGGTTTTGTGAAGTCTGGGGGGGTTTGGAGGAGGTATGGAAAAACAGCATTGTCCAGCTATGAGGCTGTTTCTAATCAGTTTTTAGTAATCAGTCAAGGAAGTGTAGATATGCTTGGGGTTTAATTAGCTTGCTTTCTGGAAATCCTTTGCCTCCTAGTCTGTGAAAAATTACAGCTGTCAGCTAAAATTTGGGCAGGAATCCTCTGTAATGTAATTCTGAGGATGCCCAAACTTACATTTAAACTCCTGAAGTGTGATTGTCCTGAAAGTGAGGATGTTTAACACTGGGTGAAATGGAATAGGACAGGATGAGCTGCCTGGCCCTGGCAGAGCAGGACAAATGTGCTGAGTTCCCTTGGCATGTCCTGCTTTACATCAGTAGGTGAACCAGGCTGTTACATCCACCCTTGCTTGAAAGAGAGGAGCTAATACTGTAAGGCTACTGGCTTATCGTGGGTTTGTCCAACAAATCTAGTAAATGTACACCCATTTCCTCTGTGAAATAAAAAAAGCCTACACTAAGACCACTTATTTCCTTTCCC